TATATATATATATATATACATTTAAATATACATATTTTAATTATACTCAGGCATGGAATTTTTACTTGGAGGTTTATGTTCAATAAAAAGTGGAATGCCTGCAGAAGAAAAAGCAGATCTTGAACTTGTACAATATCATTCTGAATCTACTGCACCACTTGACTATTGTCCTCTTCAATGGTGGGCAAAAATTTCTGCAAAATGTCCAAATTTAGGAAAATTGGCTTGTAAATATAATTGTGTACCTGCATGTTGTGCACCACCCTCTAGAATTCCAGCAGAAGTGCAAGTTTTATATGATACAAGGCGAACGGCCTTACCTCCTCATTTGATAGATAAGTTACTCTTCCTTCATAGTAATCATACTGTATGAAGAAAGCATTAAGTTCAATTATAATGTTAATAGCTTTTATATAATCTACGTTTAAAATGAAACATTTAGGCGAATTTGAACGAAAGAATAAGCCAAGTCAGTTACTAATTTAAATTAGTTTTAATATAACATCAATGTATTCCAATTTTATGATATATAATTTATTCAGCTATTGTATAAAGCTTATATTTTTCATTTTTACTTTTATTTAACTATCAGAATTTTATATTTTCTAAAAGTAAAAATTGAAATCAGAATGTATAAGTTTGTTAAATATCTTACAAAAGAGAAATATATTTATTTTCACAAAAATATAATATTAACTTCATATTTTGAAATTGTACTTCAAATGAAACAATATTCGGAATTATGAATAGTCTTGTTTTATTATTCAAATGAGCCTAAGATAATAAGATATTATTATATCATTAAATTAATAAAAATTCACCAGTCAAAATATTAAAAAAATATTATTTATAGAAATTAAAAAAATAATAGTTTCATATTTGCAACACATATGATGTATTATGATATGCTTTACAAAAATTCTTAAATATTATAAAGTATTGAAAATAAAATATTAATGTTGTAAATATTGCAAAAAAAATGCAAAAATAAATTTTTTACATCTTTGTATTTTTTACAAAGAAATATTATTAATACTTCATCTAAAGTTAAAATGCGAACATAAAATGATTAATAAATAATTTATAATAAATTTACCTTTATACAGTAAAATGTTAAATTAAATAACATTGTAAACTTGTAACTTCATATCAACATTCTTTTTATTTCTAATAATAATGATAAAAATGATGAGATACCTTAATAAATAAATTATTTGATAATTTTCCTACTACTTTGTCAGTAATACACTTCAAGTGTATTTATGTGATATTAATTTATATTCTTTAAAAATATTAAACTAAAGTAGTACAAACTTAATATTTTATACTATGAAATAGAATTTATATTATAAATAATACTTGTATTATTGATATATTTTATTGATGTATTTTTATTTGTTTAATGACTTATAATTTAATGATTAAATGTAATATAATGTTGTATAATATGAATTACATATGCATGTGCTTCTTATTATTTTAAAAATTGATATTTGTATTTATAACAAATTGTACAAGACTTTATATTTTATTTTTGTACAGTATCAATATAATTGTAAAAGAATACTATAACAATACATTTTATATTGTATATAAAGTGAATTATTTTAAAAAATACATTTAAAAATATATGTTAATATTGTATATTATATCTATAACATATCTACTATACTTAATTATTTTTTAAAAATTTAGACAAAAGTAAAAAAAAATTATATATTCAAACAAATTTTATTTTATTTAATTATATTTTTCTTGTAAACAAAAAAAAGATACTTACTATAACAAAAATCAAATTTCTTTATTATCTATATTATGTTTTTCTATTTATTTCAAATGAAAATTTTTTATTAGTTTCTTTATTATAACATTTAATTATAAATATTAATTATGAAAAAATGAATTGGCTTTGAATCCATGTTGAACTTTCATAGAATCTTGGATCTGCGATTCGAAGAGATGCCCTCTTATAGAAATAATAGTATAAAACTGCAACTTTAATGTAACTAAATATAAAAGAAATTGTAAAAAATAATATGTGTATTTAAAATATGATTGAAAATATATTTACCTCCTCTATGTAATGAATAGAGTATATGAAAATTTGTAGTCCAATAATATTTGAGAGGTGATGACCAATGCAGTTTAATATCCCATATATGTAAAGTAATGCTTAATACCATATATATAATACACAATATTAATGTTATACGAAATTTTGTATATAATAATTGTATTAATCCTATCTGTATGAAAAGAATATACTTTTTTACAATATTATTTAAAAATTAATTTTTAAATTTTGTTATAACTTATAATGATAATTACCTGAAAAATGTAAGTAGAAAAGAAGTTAACTAGTAGAAGTGTGATAGTCATAATAATACATATATCTTGAGCCCTTAAAAACAAAAATTAAGTTCAATTTATATAAATATATTTATTTTCTTACTATATTACAAAAATAAAAAATACATACACATAAAGAATTAATAAATTGATTGAATTTGATCTAGAGAAGCTAGTAAATGAATTAACAAAGATATCAAAAAGTAATATTAAATATTGTATAATTATAATGACGAGATATCTTTTAGTATTTATTGTATTCATTTATTACGAAAAAATAATTCACTGATATAATAAATAATTCATTTAATCAACAATTTTCTTTGTGTTTGGTTATATCTTTATATTCTATAAGTTGCTATGACAACACAAAATAATATATCGCATATATGTGTGTTTAGTATTAATACATATCTTTATTAATTATGACATGTGATTTTTCAAGAATTCCAAAATTTTTTATATTATAAAATTTATATTATAAATAAATAATAATTTATTTATAAATTATAAATAAAAAGATTACTTCTTTAAAATTTAATTTTACAATTATTTTATTTTGATATTGATATATTAATACATGATAAATTTTGCGATAAAATTGAAATATATCATATAAATCAATATAAATATAATAAAATATTCAAATTAATATAGAAAAAAATATATTATGCTAAAATGAAAAATTTATTTGAAATATTAAAGAAATTATAATTTATTACATTACATTAATTCTTAAATTAGAAAACAAAAAAGAACTGTAAAATATTTATATCTATAAAGAAT